CCAGTTAGTACAAAGCATTGTCATATTTGCTATCTGTTTAGATTATGTGGATATTTTAGTGCTATATCTGTAATCCTATAGAAATTTGTTTTAGTTATTGAATATATTGCAGTGTATACATTCCAATGGGGCTTGCAAATGTGTGCGGCTATTCTTCTCTGGTAATTCAAAAAACAGTTGAATTTTATTCGCTCGTATGCATTGTATGGCGTATTTTATAGGTGTTACACATATTACCTCAGCCTGTAGACTCGATATAGCCAAAATGATCAGTACAGTATGTGTATTCTGTGTCTAGGAACTCAGCGTTTCTCTCTAGCTCTCGCGTTGTCTTTTTCACGAGCGCGTGAGCTTTTCGGGGAGGTTCTCGTACTGCGATGCTGCTTAGCCCTCCCTTCACTCTTTGTCTGCCGGTCGTTTCCTGAGGTTGAGTCCCGCCCACTTTCACCCCCCGGAAAACGGGGATCGACACCCTAACAGCTTTCCTGAACAACTATTGGTTGGGCCCCTATCTAACGGAAGCCAATCAGAGCAAGGCAGCTGCAATTTTTGCTTGCAAACCTCCTCAACGCCGCAATGCTTGAATCGATTTTTGCGGTTTGTCGTTTGTGTGACGAAGGCACCAATAAGAGACGTAAGATCGAACAAATGTGTGCGCGAGAGAGATGCTAAAAAGAGAAACTGTCTGTGAACAAAAAGCCATGGCTGTTAGAATAACCAGGAGCTAGGCGAGTGTGCGATCGTTAGCCTAAATAGAGGAAGTGGGGGAGAGGAATGTAGATCGAGCACACACGATAGAGCGTCGTGCGACTTTGCACATTGCTATTCTGTTCTTGTGCCTGATCCATTTCGCTGCATGCCCAACACAAAAAGGAAGAGCAATACTTTTAAGAAATACACGGGCACAAGATACGGCAATGCGTGCAAATAGAAACAAATGTACGTACGACTGTGGTTGGTGCCTGGGTAAACCGCTTCGTGCACACTTATAAGGCTTGACGTTATATTGACTACCTTGAAACCCGCAGCGTACGATCTATCCATGTAAAGGTCAACCAAGTCTAATAATGACGGACGTGCTTGACTCTTCTTCAGTTGAAAGCCTTAGACACAGACACGATATCGCTCTCAATAGCTAAATGTGCTCTTCACAAAGTCGCAAGGGAAAATGATTTACACAACCCATAATATAGTTTTCCTGTTTATGCTGCAGTTTGTCGCTACGCAAAGTTTCATCAACTTATGGAAGTTCGAGTCTCATAACTAATCTGGATGCCGGAAGCATAACAAGCATCATCTACTTGTTGGATGTTATCCGTTACTTTAATGACGATAAACTTATTGATGACTTCATGTAGTGACAGACTAATAATGCTAGGATTAGGAGCAACATTTACGATAAATGAATAAAATAGGTGTGTTTCAATTAGGAAAGTGAGTCACTTTTCGATTTCCTGATATATATATATATATATATATGCGCGCGAATAATAAACATTGTGTGACGAAATTATTTGGTAGGCTCACGGTAAGTTGTAGCGAAAGCCTTGCCTATTTGCGGCGCAAAAACAAGATCTAAATTACAAGCAGCTCGTATACTTTTCCGAAACTATCACACTCGAACCCACGGAAATCTTCTCGGAAAAACCGTAAATCACAAATCTCAATCGATGTAGAAGCATGTAGTGTTTTCCATTGAACAATCTAATCATCGGCATCTAACAAACACGTTATATTGCTCAAAAAATATTGAAATAGACAGTTTATAAAAACGTTTGACTAAGAAACATGGTTATCTATGTCTCATACGTCATAAAAGTCATCTTTCGTATTCGTGATGCAAGACGCCTGTCTTTGAATCAAACCGTATAAAATACTTACATCCTGTTTTAGAAACCTTAAATCACTGCATGAATAATCTTGCATCGCCTCTCTTCGTTAGCTTTTTCCGAAATATGTTGTGGCCGTTTTCCCGTTCATACCTGTTCGTAAGCCTCCAACCTATCTAGATTTTTCGTTCATAATCCTTTTTAATTGTCGAGTTCAAGATGGCGCTTGTAGTTACCAAGTTTGTCAACTCTAATCCTTTCCTAGCTGGCTTTTCCTTCTTTTGTTTCCGCACGGACAACTGCGAAGATCCCGATGTCAGCGTCGCTTCGGCATTAATGTAAGCGAAATTTCGAAAAAAAAAAACTATGCGTAACTGTCATTACCGCTTTGTTGCCGCTGCGTTGTTCTCCTGGTACTTCCAGGCAGCATTTGCACGAGAAAGGAATACCGTTTATGGCAATTTAAACTACTAGTAATCAAAGCTTGTGTTGATGGTTCGAACGGCTCATCGGTTAATTAATCGAGCCCGAAGTTCCGTAACGCCGAACAAACGACGAAATTTGGTTTACGTTTTACGCAGTAAGCACAAACGATTTTCCATTTAATGGTCGAATCATCGACATCTGAAACGTTATGTCGCTAACAATATTGAGGTCGACAGCTGAAATGGACGACTGAACAGTGTTGCCTTTAATATATCAGTGCAAATATATTCGGTATTACTGGAAAATTTCATCTGCGCTTAGGTGGCCGAGAGAGATGAGCCTGCAGGCTTATGCTAATCTTGCTCAAGTTTGTACCCCAACTTCATGATCAATAAGCATGGTCTATACCAATCGTTAATAATTAATCATTGACGTAGACTAGTTGTGAAAAATGCAGCTGTATAGTCAATCCACCTTCTATCAATATACTTAAATTTAGTTTAATTGCTAAAATCGTGCTTTGAGAGAAATAGTCCTGATAGATTTGCGCTTTAATACCGTTAGAGTGCTAGTGTAATTACGAATAAACTTACTTACTCTAAAATAATGTGACAATCCTATAATATTTGTTTGGATATTTTGACAGACATATCCGTAAACAATGGCTTATTCAATAAAACTGCTACTTGCTTTAATACCTCTAACTTTTTAAGATCCTCTTTCGAACTCTGAAGGCACGATATTAGTACGTTTCGACGTGGCAGGGTTTAGCTTAGATACAAAGGGATTAAACAGGTGAGTTCGCAATCTGAAAATTACCAAAAAACCGATGATTCAAATTCTTAAACGGTCTTTTAAACAAAATATTAGGCTTCCTAATAGGTGGGAAACAGCCACTCTCAATAAAAAATGTTTCGTGGATACCTTTCTTTAAAAATCAAATTCGTTCGGTTCTTCTCGATTATAATGTAATGTCGTAAATATATCCTAAAAAAAATGCCCCTCAGATTCCTTGGCAATGGCTATCACATAAAACTTTCACTGGAAAAATTCTAAGATCATTAAAGAATCACTATTAATATATGCAAAGTTTCGATTTCGTTGTTTTTTCAGAAGCCGTCACACACGAGCTACACGTCTTATTACACGGCGAAATTTTGAATGAAAGCTGTTCTCGATTTAGCAAGTTCACGTTGGCCATCACATGACACTGCGATAGCTTGCAAACCTGAAAGGAATTTTAGTCGACAACCCTAAGAACATGTTTGTTTTGGTCGAATTGGTTTGGGAATTGTTTTGTATCCGCTTCTGTATAATTTTCCATCGATCGTTACTAATTGTTGTAGTTCAGCCTTGCTTTAACTTGGCACAACCTGCGATGTCTTGATCATAAACGACAAACGGCTAGAGGAGGGGTGAAAATAGGCCCACGCTTTTGTAAGGGCAAATAGAGTTCGCAATTCTAAACTAAAGTCAGCAACAACTCTAAACCTACGTTTCTTCTAACCCGGAGTCTTATCTTGCTTACTCCAAACTCTCGTCAGCGCCTCATGCAGTAAACCTCTACCCCCTCCCCCTCCCCCTCCCCTCCCGCATGTTGTCGAGCTTTGTAAGCACGATCTCAATACTTCTTTTTATAGCGCAATAGTTACAAACTGTCATTCTGAACGCCGTTGGCGAAGCTAATATCGAAAGTTATCTTTGTTGGTTTCGCCTTGCTTTTCATATGCGCGGACAGACCTTTGTGCACGAGTTCGAAATCATTTTTTGCTCTATTTAAAAACCTGAATAATGTGGGCGAGTTTGCCACGACTACTTCGATATCCATTAAGAAAATGTTCCGAAACGTCCCAACATAAAGGCTGGTAGAAGTAGTTTTTTCAAGATCCACCCTACAAAGAAGAAGAAAAAAAAATAATTATTATTTGAAGATTATATTATGGGAGAGAGGTGAATTAATCGAGAAATTTCTAGACGCCTCTTTTCAGTTATTAGAATTTACTTAGCTTGAAGTGCAGATTTAGAATCTGTAAAGGGTCGATATTGGCACCCTTCTGCACAAGGCATTCCTAAAATGATCGCTGAGAACTGTATGTTTGTTTATATATTTATACCCTAATAGATTGTTGATGATTTCTCCACGATGTTGAATCCATTACTGGATCTGATGTTAATAGAAAAAATCCTGGCCCTGTTCAAATAGTTATATGACAATGGTGTTTTCAACAGCTAATAACGCCTAGTAAACGACGTATGAAATGCAAAACTTGTCTTAGATTATTGCGGTAGCCCTTTTACTGTGGCCTAAGCTGTAAACCCAATGGTAATTTATCCGTCAACCTGATGTGACACGAAACTGCTTATTACAGAAATAAGGATTATATCAGATGTTGAATTGTAGAATTGAATGAAATATTTATACTTAAATGTTTCTTGTTTTACGTTGCTACCTGAACACTGGTATTTAGAACAACGGAGAGTTTATATGTAGATGATATACGGCGGCCAACTTCGCAATTCATTTGTTTAGAAATAGGATGGAATGTCATTTGCAAGGAAATAGTAGTTTCCCGAAGCTAAAATTTCAGTAGTCATCTGCTACTGTATTTGAATGAAATTTATAAACTTCACTAAAAACACTTTATAAACCTATGTTTAAGTTCACTGGTAAAGTTCGATAACCATAAATGTTTGTAGGTGTCATACCTACAGGGAAATGCTTAAGAGATATTAACGATACTGATCTAAATATTTTAACAATGCATTTATATAGCATTACGTTTATTGCGTAAATTATATCACAAAAAAGATTTCGCCTAATCCTTTTAGTTTGTCTCGCTTCCATTAGCTTTCTCCAATGCTCCGCGTTACATCAATATTCCAGTTATTTGATTGCTAAATGGAAGACTGCGCTGTCCGAGTGAACAGCTTGTCATCAGGCGCCAATAAATAGCAAATAAAAAAGAAAAAGAAAAAAAAAAATAGATTTTGCGTACTAAAATGCGTGTTTATTCCGCCTAATAATAATATTGTAACGCATTGCATCGCTATAATAAAAAGAAAACAATTAAGTCCAATAGTCGATGTTTACAAGGGCGCCATTCTACCAGCTTATTATTGGTAAGCTTTAGTAGTTTGAATTTATTCAGATATAGAAAGGCAAACCATTTGGACCTCTCACCGCTTCATCTCGGTAAGTTCATATGTAATAATGATAATAAAATGGTGGGAATATATATATATATATATATATAGGTAGACATACTTTCTTCTCATAATTATATATGCATAATATAGATCTCTGTCATCTCCATGTGCTCACTTCCTCGTCCACAGTCCCACGTAAGGTACACATACAACATTGGAACATATGTGCCATTCTCCTGTTGGAGGCTTTTTAGCACAATACAGTCTTTGACATGTTTAGTAATTTGCAACTTTCATTTAGCGTCTGCTTAATCACCGTCCACTGTTTTTGATCAAGTTTTGTTTGCCGCTGAAAATCACGCACAGACAACTTTCAAATAAACGGCAAGGCTTTTTTTTTTTGTTTTTATAATAAGAGTGTTTGTGTATACCCTACGTACAGCGTTCGTGATGGCATTTGGATTGGATGCGTTATAAGTAGTAGAAAAATGTCAATTCTTATCGAAATCGACTCGACCTCCATGCCACTAGAAGCTTTGCAGCTTATGACTTATATGATCGTGTGAAGTTCAACTCGTTTAATTTGAATCGTCGACCCAGCTTGAAACTCCATAGGAATCATCGATAAGGGCTCTCTTAATTTAGTTACTCAATTTCTTGACCCACGCGAAGGCGTCTCACTGAAAAAAAGAATTTGCTTTAGTGGATAATTTATGTCATAATAAAATATTACGATAACGTTGTTATTTATTTGTGCAATTATCGGCAAATGTGAAAAATTGTTCCGGCATTTATTTATATATGCATGCACGTTTAATAAGAAACATGAGGTTGACGGATTCTCAAGAAAATTGATGAATTGTGTGCTTCCTGCGAATTATACCCCATTATATATGCATATTACAACCACGATGGGGATTTTCAAAGGTTTTGTTTCGTTGGCGACCTTAGTTTAGAATTGCCTTTTAGCTTTTCGCTTACGTGTCCTCTAGATATGTTACTCCGGCTGGCATTGGTAGCATCTGAGTGTTTCGCGTTTTAAGTCTAGTATTGACATTCAATATTTTTTAGACGGTTGGCCCGTAGTCCGAAATTAGACTACCTTACGTGGGTGAATACCTTATCACTGGGCCATCACAAAGAACCATCTAACCCCGTTCAGGGAATATTCCTCCCTGCCGTTAAATCTCCAACTGCCGCTTGTTCAGAATGCCTCAGGTTATGCATGCCCCTAATTTCTCGTACACAAGTTCATATCCTTGGTGTCATTCGCAGCTGGACTACTAGGGGCTTCGAGCAAGTCATTTGTTTGTGAGCTTTTCCTTTTATTCTATATTTTTGGTAGGGCGATATGACAACGGATTTGTGGCTTGCATATGAAAACCTCATTGTAGATTCTTTCTTTTAAGAGGAGGGACTACATGAAAATGTTCTACGCGGATCTCCAAATTGGAACAACTGATTTATACAAAATTGGTGCTCGATATCAGTGTCGCTGGAATCTCTCCATATTTGGTGCAGACTCAGTCTTAAGTAATTTTTGCTTATGGCCAATATTCATTCCGTGTAGGGAAGGCCGTTTTTTCTATCCACACTTCACATATTTCTTAATACGAACATTGAGCGTATCGTGCATCGAGTGGATACAACGTTTTTAATCAATGCTAATCTATGCGGCCATATATACCTGATCCTAAAATATTAGGGCATATTTCGGCATTTTTCTAGCTGCAACGCGCATGTCCTTCTAATGGATGCTCTATAATCACAAATTAGGAATGGAGTAGAACGAAAAGCATTCTGATGGGGTAACCCGCAACTAATAATCATATCTGCTATGATCTCACTCAACCCCCTTGTATAGGCAAACGGTGCGGGGGTGACAGAGGCAGTGGCGAATTGAGTTCAACACATATTGTGGAAATTTTGCAAAGCGGCCTGCTCCTTTTAAGGCAGTTGAATTATTTGAAATCAGCCCGGCAGACGCTAGTGAGAGAATCTGTTATGTATTCTCATTGGAGAGATTGAAATACACGAAACGCTTTAACCAAGACCGACATCACACCTATATTTGTTCATTTGTTGAGATGCTACAAATTGTCTATTTTATGGGCCGCAAGTATCCATTTGGAGGGTACCATTTTGTATTGCCCACAAGGTCAATGACTTCGCTCGTAAAAATAAAACAACGATTGTTAAGCTGACCGTAATTATTGTCTAGCTAAGCAAGGGTCTTTTGAACCCTTTTCATACCCTCAACGAAGTATTTAGCAATGTACTATTATTATTAATGTATCTTAAATATTCAAACATTTGCAGCAAAATGGCTGAATTATCAATACGTACATCTATCCCGATTTTCTTGAAGTTTGCGCGAAACTCGTACGCGTGCATCAGCGACAGCCAACTCAAGTCCAATTGACAGCAGCGAACGATTCTCGTCTACAAGACGAGCAATCTCCATTTCGATCTATGAAAATTGGTCTCAGTAAGGTTTATAACTAAATATTAAATTTTCAATTTGCTATTCTAGATATGAGAGACTGTGCGAAATAGGTAGATAAACTTATGTCGATTAGCGTCAGTTAGTTTTGCACTTATTAATTCGTTCAGTTCACGTTCCACGTAGTTCTTCTTCACGGACAAAATAGAACAAATGAAATTTATTGAGGAACTTTCCTTTTGATATCTAATAATACAAGATGTTAAAGGTAGAATTCCATACCTTGTTCCCTAGAATGGAGGGCCTTTGATTCGCGGCACGAATTTCAGTAATGATGTTGTTAGCCAGAGCTGCTTCGATAATATTCTGCCAGAAATGTTCAGAGATGCTATTACTATTATGTTTGGCTATAATAAAAGTGAGGGTAGATAGGCTTTGCAAGAGAATTTTGTGTTATATTAACAGAAAAATGAACAGTTGGAAGGGAAGGGAGAAAAGTACATTAAGAAAAGGATAATCATTTTTAACTACACTAATATTTGTTTATCACGTCTACATAGCAAAAATCAAAAGAAAATTGAACTCTACTTTTTCAAAACGGAAATACCAATTCCTTATTGGAACACCCTTGGCCTGTAGACTTTCGCGTGTAAAAAATCCGGAGCAAGCAAGCAAGCAAAATGTTGTTCGATTTGTTTTTTATATACGACATTCAGGCATGATAGAATGAAACCAGATCATCATTTAAATATAAGGGGTACTTGGTTCTATCTATATTATTATTTTCTCTACGTTAGTAGAAACAATAAGCTCTCTGTAACACTCTTTACGATTGTTCAAAAGCTGTAGCTCCAGCTCCCTAGATCACTATGAAAAATAGAAAAATCATGCGGCCTGAAGTTGGATTCAATTGTCATAAGTCCATGTTTAATGAAATTTTATAGGTAGAGTAGCCTAATTCGCCGATACAATAAAATTTAAAAAAATGCCCTCGTACCGCTTTATTATTGTTGGGACCATTCTGGATAGATATCATCTGTCTACGATGGTTTCTCTCCCTTTCTCCCTCTTTCTCTCTCTCTCTCTCTCTCTCTCTCTCTCTCTCTCTCTCT